GTTCTACGGCTCTGGAAAGAGCTCTCTCAGCCCCACCTACCTCACAGGACGTCTGTTGTGGGGAGGGGAAGGAGTTTGTAAACCGCTCTGAGATTCTGAGTGAAGGGCGGGGTATAAATCCAATCTCTTCTTCTTCTTCCTCTGTCCCCAGTGGAGAATGGTGGAACGTGGTATCAATATAATTCCCGTCCACTCATCTGCTGTGTTGGGCTCTTCAGTTTTCTATTCCCAAGCTCTGAAATTTGGGCTATTGTTGTTGTTGTTCAGTCACACAGTCGAGTCCGAGTCTTTGCGACCCCATGGACCACATCACGCCAGGCCTTCCTGTCTTCCATCATCCTCTGGAGTTTGCTCAATTTCATGTTCATTGCTTGAATCTATTGAACCCTGTGATGATTCCTTGTTTGAGAGTGTGTGTGTCCCTTTAAATGTTTGATAGTAACTAGTGTGCCATGATTGGTGGATGGCAGAGTGTGGGAGGAGTTATTCTGTGTGTGGGTGTGTCAGTGAAAGATTGGAGAATGACAGTGGGAGAAAAAGCAGTTGATGTTGTTGAGTTGGAGTTCAGCCAGTGAGAGCTCTGACCGTGCTGTGTGGAGTCAGAGAGAGGGAGAGCTGAAAGTTCTGTGTGGAATCAGTCAGTGGTGTGAAGTCAGTGGTGTGTGGAATCAAAGAGAGAGAAAGCAGTATATTATATATCTGTAAAGTGAAACTACAGTTCTTAAAGAGAGTAAAAGTTCCAAAGAGAATAGCCTGTGTGATACAGTTGACCTACATATTTACAAATACCTATTTCCTAAACAGTTACAGTTTAAACCACCTCTTAATTTGTTCTTTCAATAAATCCTTTTTATTTAAGTTTATCCCAGAAGCCTGATCCATTATTCCTCAGGACCACATAGATCCTCGCAAGCCAAGACCCTGAGTCACAATACCAAAACCAGAAGCAGAAAGGGGATTTGGAAGTTAAAGAAAATTCCTGGTGGCAGCAGGAACTACCTATTTTATAAACATAAAGCATAATTTAAAGTGAAATTCAGTCCTCCCCAATAGGAGGTCGTCACAGACCCCCCCCCCCAAAAAAAAATTGGGATTTCTGAAAAATCACGGATCCCAGTACCGGCAAAGTATTTGGATCAGGGATTTTTTTAGAAATCCCAATATATATATTTTTTTTGGGGGGGGGGGGTTCCAACAGACAGAGATGGGGAAAAACGGAAAAAACAAAACCAGGCTCAGGAAAGCCACAAAACACAGCTGAGTGGCAGGAGCAATGTGCTCCCTCTTTCTTCTGCAGTCCTTTTAAACCAGCCTGGTTGAAAGGGACTGCAGAAGAAGTGGGGGAAACAGCTGAGAAGCAGGGAGCAGTCTCTCTCTGCCCCTCAGTTGTTTCCTCTGTTGTTTCCTCCGATGTTCCCAGTTCCTGACAACATCCGGGACTCCCCCCCCCCGGTTGTTCTGAAAAATCCTCGATACTTTTCAGATGCCGAAATATACCCGAAAAATACCAGTAAGGTAAAAAGGTAAAGGTCTCCCTTGCTCGAAAGCCAGTCGAGTCCGACTCTAGGGTTGCGGTGCTCATCTCCGTTTCCAAGCCGAAGAGCCAGCGCTGTCCAAAGTCGTTTCCGTGGTCATGTGGCCGGCATGACTAAACACCAAGGCGCACGGAACGCTGTGACCTTCCCACTGAAGTGGTACCTCTTTATCTACTTGCAATTTCTTGCTTTTGAACCGCTAGGTTGGCAGGAGCTGGAACTAGTGACGGGAGCTCACTCCGTCATGCATATATTTTTGTATATTTTGTATATTTTTGGCTCGGGAACATCTGAATGCACTCCCCTAATTTGGGCTCCTTTTGGCTTGTATAAGTTGCCAGCACTGTAAGACCCAATGAAAAGGCACTGGCACATCCTTTGCAGCCGGTGGAAGAAACCAGAGGGGGTGAAAGGGGAATCTTTGGACAAAGTGAGCCTTCCCTTCCTCCAGACCCCTCCCCCGAATCACTCCCTTTCCGTTTTTTCCTGAACTAACTGCCCCTCAGTCCTTATATTGGCAAGCCTTTCTTCTACGCAGCCCTGCCGTGGACAGTGATGCTGGGCCTGTGGCGGCCTCACCTAACTCCCCACACACAAGGAGATGGCTGTGAGAAAAGAGAGGAGGAGGAGGGAGAAGAGCAGGCTGAAAAGAAACAGAAAACACCTCAGATGCTGCCAGGCTGCTGACCCGTCTTGCTTTGCCTTTGGCTTGCCCTTCCGTGCCCAGAGGTCGCAGGTCTGTGTGCACCTGAGACATGCCTTGATTCCCTCCCTCACAGAAAGCTCACTCAGCTATTGGGAGCTTCTTTTGGACAGCAGGCTGTACGTGGCACAAAAGCGATGGCCACTTGCCCTGAGCAAAGCCCCTGCTTGGCTGCTTACGTGCGGTCGGGACCCCACTTTTTCCAAAGTGCAGGCATTTGCGCCCACTGGTGCTTGGGCACCTTGTGCTAGTGAGTAAGCACTGTCCAAGTTTGCCTGTGCTTTCTGAGCCAAGTTGACGACCCTGCAGATGGCAAGAGGGAGCCCATCTTCTCATCCCTGTGCCTAGCTGTGACCGATGTCTAAGCCCCGGTGACCCTGTATTGGAACTCCATATGCTGCTCTATATTGAGATATATGTCAGAATAATAGAGGTAGCAAGCAGTTACTATAGATCAGTTTGATCTGTTTGTCAGACCTAGCTGTCATGCTAGTAATCATGTAATTACAGCCAGGTGTTTCTAGCAGGTGTTGCTCTTTCAGGTCTTGTTAGAGTTAGTGATTACATCACCTTGTTAGAGGTTGGCTGGGGTTTAGCATAATAGATATCAGCTTAGTAAGCTGGAAAGGAACTCAGTTCTCATAGACTAAGACACGACATGCTGTTCAATAGCCTGTAAATATCTCTGTATATATTCACCTTTATAACTATATAAACTCTCTGTGCACCTTCATAACTGGTCAGTCTCCCGCTTCTTATTTACAATACCCAATACTCATCGGTTGTTCCCCTGGAGCTGCCTTGCACGGAATCTGACACACACACCCCGTCCATCAAAATCAGCATTGTCTACTCAGACTGGCAGCAGCTCTCCAGGGTCTCAGGCGGAGGTCTTTCACATCACCTCCCGCCTGGTCCTTTTTAACTGGAGATGCTGCCAGGGATGGAACCTGGGACCTTCTGCGTGCCGAGCAGAGGCTCCAACCCTGAGCCATGCACCTCTCCCCGGCCTGCCTGTTCCTCTCCTCCTCCCCTTCCTCTCACAACCACAGCTTCTTTGCGGGTTGTCCAGATGCGCTCAGCCAAGTAGGGGAATGAAGTGACCCAGATGTGGCACCCCTCATGCGCAGCATCGTGCTCGGGGGCTGCCTGGCTGTTGCTCCGCTTCCTTTGGCATCTCAGTTAACGCCACTTCTCCTTCCCTGCTTCCTGTTCATTCTACTCTGTGGCGGCCAAGCCCCGGTGCTCAGTGGCTTTTGGGAGGGCGGGGAAGGAGATTCTTGGGGAAAGCTCCACCGTGTCTCCCTGTCTGTCTGCAGAAATCCCGGCCTTGAAGGATTTTGTCATCGAAACGGGCTTGAAAACCAGCATGAAAGCCACGGAGAAGGTCATCCGGGACGTGGCTCGTGTCATCAGCCAAATCGTGCATTATCTGACCAACCAGAGGGCGGAGGTGAGCAGGAGCGTAGTCCAGAAATTTGCAAGGATCGTTCAAGGTTAACCTGAATGCCCCAAAACAGAGGAATGGAAGAGTAGCCATCCCACTCCTCTCTGTTAAGGAACGGGCCAGTAAAGGAACACACTTTCAAGGCCCTTCAGTGTTGCGGAAGCTCCAGACTTGGGAGGTGGGATGCTGTGGGGTTCACACGAGCCCTTCTCCGCTCTTCTTCTTGCGAGGAAGCCGTTGTGATCAACCCTGTTCGTTTGCTTTCCCTTCCAAATCATGCACAAAGCTATCCTTCAGAGTTCACCTTTGGGCAAGGGAAGAGAAGCGGAAGGTATTGCCTGGTTTTGTGCAGGCCACACTTCCATGAATCCAGAGTTCTCCAGTTTGAGAGCCAGTTTGGTGTAGTGGTTAAGTGCGCGGACTCTAATCTGGGAGAACTGGGTTGGATTCCCCACTCCTCCATGTGCAGCTGCCGGTGTGACCTTGGGTCAGTCACAAGTTCTCTCAGAGCTGTTCTCTCAAGGGCAATTTCTCTCAGAGCTCTCTCAGCTCACAGGAGAGTGTCTGTTGTGGGGAGGGGGAGGGAAAGGAGATTGTAAGCCGCTCTGAGTCTCCTTCGGGTAGTGACGGGTGGGGTATAAATCCCTCAGGTAGGTCGGACCTTGGCCATATAGGGCTTTAAAGGTAAGCACCAGCACTTTGAAGCGAATCCGGTACACCATTGGCAGCCAGTGCAGCAATTTCAGCACAGGCCGGATGTACTCCCGGCCCAAGGCGCCCACCAACAACCTGGCCACAGCATTGTGCACCAGCTGTAGCTTCCGGATTTGCAACAAAGGCAGCCCCATTTAGAGAGGAATGGGCCAGTAAAGGAACACACTTGCAAGGCCCTTCAGTGTTGCGGAAGCTCCAGACTTGGGAGGTGGGATGCTGTGGGGTTCACACGAGCCCTTCTCCGCTCTTCTTCTTGCGAGGAAGCCGTTGTGATCAACCCTGTTCGTTTGCTTTCCCTTCCAAATCATGCACAAAGCTATCCTTCAGAGTTCACCTTTGGGCAAGGGAAGAGAAGCGGAAGGTATTGCCTGGTTTTGTGCAGGCCACACTTCCATGAATCCAGAGTTCTCCAGTTTGAGAGCCAGTTTGGTGTAGTGGTTAAGTGCGCGGACTCTAATCTGGGAGAACTGGGTTGGATTCCCCACTCCTCCATGTGCAGCTGCCGGTGTGACCTTGGGTCAGTCACAAGTTCTCTCAGAGCTGTTCTCTCAAGGGCAATTTCTCTCAGAGCTCTCTCAGCTCACAGGAGGGTGTCTGTTGTGGGGAGGGGGAGGGAAAGGAGATTGTAAGCCGCTCTGAGTCTCCTTCGGGTAGTGACGGGTGGGGTATAAATCCCGTCTCTTCTTCTTCCTCTCCTTCCCTTTGTTCTCCAGGACGTCTCTCACCAGGCCCAAGTCCGGGAAACGGTGCAGCAGGCCTTGCAGGGTCTCCCCAGTCTGCTCCAGGAGGCTGCAGACGACGTCCTCCCCGACATTCAGTACTTCTTTGGGGTCCTGATCCAAACCAGCCTCAGCAAGGGGGCAAATAAAGCCAAGGAACTGAGTGAGGACATCGTCAAAAGCTGGGGCTTGCCTGTAAGCCATGTCCTGAAACGCTTGCTCTTTACAAAGTTCGAGTCTAGTCAGGCACCTTTGAGACTAGCAAAGTTTTATTTCTGGCATGAGCTGTCCTGTGCAGGCACACTTCTAATCCCAAGAATTTAACTCTGTTGGTCTTCAAGGTACCCCTGGAATCAAACTTTGTGTTGCTGCTTCAGACCAATGCTGCTTGCTTTTTGTGTGCACCTTTTGCTCCCGGCTTCCCCAGCTTGGTGTAGCCCTTTCTCTGCTGTTCTGCACGCTTCTCAGTTTTCTCTGTGCCCCGGAAGAAGTCTGAAAATAAGTCTAGCCCCTGGAGTGCTGGGGGCTAACTTGGTGTTGACCACTACCTTGAATGAGGGCTCCTGTGCAGTGGGTGAAGTGTGTGGAGTTCAAGGAGACCCTTGCTCAGCGAGCCTCAGGACCCCTGGGAAGGAAGGGGGAGGAGCGTATTGGGGGAGGCCCACAGACCCCTCCCTCCATTGACCCCTTTGGTTCTGAAGAGAGAAACGCTCTCAGAGCCACTGCAGAAGTTGTATGTCTGGTTCACATCACCCTGAAATCTAAAGTGTGTGTGTGTGTGTGTGTGTGTGTGTGTGTGTGTGTGTGTGTGTGAGAGAGAGAGAGAGAGAGAGAGAGAGAGAGAGAGAGAGAGAGAACTACACTTTCTAATATAGGTATGTCTCATAAAGGTAAAGGTTCCCTTGCTTGAAAGCCAGTCGAATCCGACTCTAGGGTTGCGGTGCTCATCTCCATTTCAAAGCCGAAGAGCCACCACTGTCTGAAGACGTTTCCGTGGTCATGTGGTCGGCATGACTAAACACCAAGGCGCACGGAACGCTGTTCCCTTCCCACCAAAGTGGTGTCTACTTGCAATGTCTTGCTTTCGAACTGCTAGGTTGGCAGGAGCTGGGGCCAGAAACAGGAGCTCACTCCGTCATGCGGCACTCGGGTCTCGAACTGCTGAACTACTGACCTTCCACAGTCTGCAGTTCAGCGTCTTAACCACTCGAGCCACCGCAGCTCCTACATATGTCTCATAACAGCCCCCTAATTTTTCCTCTTAAGAAGGTATAATTCTGGTCTCCTCAGAAGCGAAGCTACTTAACAAAGGGCTCAGTTTGTCAGAATTACTCTCATGTAAGCCCCATCAGCGTGAACTGGATCTGTACCACTATCACATGTCTTAAGAGTTTTCTGGCAGTTTGTGCAGGCTTTGTGAAGCCTGCAGAAGAAAAGGGGAGATGCAGCCGTAAGGGAAAGGGGGGAGAGGCCACTATAGGGACTCCTGCTCTGCTCTTGGTCAAGAGGGATGGACTCTGATCGGCTTTGATTCCCCACTCCACCTCCACACGAAGCCAGCTGGGTGGCCTTGGGTCAGTCACAGCGCTCCCAGCTCCACCTGCCTCACAGGCTGTCTGTTGTGGGGAGAGGAAAGGAAGGTGATTGTCAGCTGCTCAGAGACTCTTGAGTGGAGGGTGGGGGATACATCCGACGCTGCTTCTCCTGTAAGGGTCTGCTCCTTCCATGCGCTTTTCCATTTGTATGCCATCATTGTGCAGAGGGTGCCCGCAGTGAAGGCTCCAGCCTCTGAGAGCGTGCAGAGTGCTCTACGGCCCAGATTTGTGTGTGCTTGGCCTGGTCCATTGTTCTTGACCCAAACCTAAAAACCTTAAGCGCCCACCAGCTGGTTTTTCTGGAGGACCAGCACAGCATTGTACAACCCCTGTATGAGGAGCAAAAGAAACCTCAGTATTAAGAAGAAGAAGAAGAAGAGATTGGATTTATACCACGCACCCTTCACTATCCAAGGGAGTCTCAGAGCGGCTTACAGACTCCTTTCCCCTTCCCCTCCCCACAACAGACAGACACCCTGGGAAGTGGGTGGGGTTGAGAGAGCCTTTGACAGAAACTGCTGTTTTTCAAGGTCAGCTCTCATCAGAAGTAGGGCTTGCCCAAGGTCATCCAGCCAGGTGCAAGTGGAGGAGTGGGGGAATCACACCCTGTTCTCCCAGACTAGAGTCCACGCACTTAACCACTACACCAAACTCGGTCTCTTCTGCCCCACCCTTCACTACCTGAAGGAGTCCCAGAGCTCCTTTCCCTTCCCTTCCCCACAACAGACCCCCTGTGAGGTAGGCGGGGCTGCGAGAGCTCTGACAGAAATGGCTCTTTTTTTAAGGACAGCTCTTATCAGAGCTACGGCTTGCCCAAGGTCATCCAGCCAGCTGCAAGTGGAGGAGTGGGGAATCAAACCCAGTTCTCCCAGATTAGAGTCCACACACTTAACCATGACACCAGACTGGCTTTGAAGAAGAGATTCGGTTTATACCTCACCCTCCACTACCCAAGGGAGTCTCAGAGCGGCTTACAAACTCCTTTTCCTTCCCCTCCCCACAAGAGACACCCTGTGAGGTAGGTGGGGCTGAGAGAGCTCTTGACAGAAAGGGCTCTTTTTCAAGGACAGCTCTTATCAGAACTACGGCTTGCCCAAGGCCATCCAGCCAGGTGCAAGTGGAGGAGAAGTGGGGAATCAAACCCGGTTCTCCCAGATTAGAGTCTGCGCACTTCACCACGACACCAGACTGGCTCTCTTTTAAGAGGGGAACAAACTGCTGTGTTAAATATTCACACTCAATTTTTGCCATCTAAGAAATAAGGGAAAGTGAAATTGAAAACAGGAAACTAAATGTATAGTAAACAAAATAAACTGTCTAATTTGGATGCGGGGGCTTTTCTTTGAAGTGGTGGCAGAGGTCTGGAATCCCCCTCTCACCCCCCCCCCGCCCGCCGCCGCAGGGGATCAGCCTGGCCACACCCCCTGAGGATGGTGGCCTTCTGGTGCTTTCCCCGATGGGGTGTGCTTTGGGGATTCATGGTTTTGACTGTCATTGATTTTGGGAAAGGATAAATTAAAGGACAGATGTCTCATTCGCTCCTGGCTTTTCTCATATTATTCTGTTACAGAGCTGTGGCTCAATATTTAGATTGTTCTGTAGCCCCCCCCTCCCCCCCGCCGCCTCTTTCTTGGAAAGACTTGAACATATGGATTTGTTCTTTCTCCCTCCTCATTCCCCTCCGCAGGGTTCTGGCTTACCGCATTCCACGTACCATGCTGCATGTCTTCGCCGTGGTGTCTACACCTCTCTGAAATGCGGATGTGTGGATTTCAACAGTCAACTCGCGAAGCCGGTGAATGACGCCATCGCTGGAGCCTGGGTCGCGATTTTCGGGTGAGTGTTTTACCCCGGAGGGGTGGCTTGGCCTACAGGGTGCCTGTGCAGCCACCTCAAGATAAGGGGGCATTGTGTTCTTCCAAGGGATCCTATTAATTGGGCCTCTCCAACTGTGTAATCTTCTTCCCACTCCCTCCCTTCTTCCCTTCCTCCCTTCTTTGGGGTAGTGGTTAAGTGCGCGGACTCTAATCTGGGAGAACCGGGTTTGATTCCCCACTCCTCCACTAGAAGCTGCTGGATGACCTTGGGCAAGCCGTAGTTCTCTCAGAGCTGTTCTCTCAAGAGTTCTTTCAGAGCTCTCTCAGCCCCACCTACCTCACAGGGTGCCTGTTGTGGGGAGGGGAAGGGAAAGGAGTTTGTCAGCCATTCTGGGACTTCGAGTGAAGGGCGGGGTATAAATCCAATCTCCTCCTCCCCCTCTTCTTCTTTCTTCTTCTTTCCTCTTTCTTCTTCTTTCTACTTCTTCTTAGTTCTAAACTGGAGGAATCCCTTGAACGCTTCACCAAAGCTGTTCTGGATAAGCTGAAGTTCTTCTTCCGAGAGCTCAAGAGGGACGTGGGCAGGCAGAACAGCCTCACGGAGGCCCTGGACGCCCTTCACCGACAGCAGATGGAGGCCATTCAGGCCCAGGTAAGGCTGAGGCAGCTGCAGCAGCGGGCTGCATCTTTGTGGGGGGGGGGGGAGTAGGGGTGTGTGGAGGGGGAACTGGCAAATGCCGTTGGACTCCATGGGGCATTTGAGAGGCTGTAGAAAATTAAATAGGAGGCCTGTGGCTCCTTAAAGGGGAAGAAAGACGCATTCCGGAAGAATAAGCTGGCGTGGACTGCAGCCCGCCTCTTCAGGTCCTGTGAGTAGAGTCTCACTACGCAGGAGGAATAAATCAATGAGGTTAAAATAAAAGGGCAAAGAGGCCGTGAAAGGCAGGTGCAGGGCAGAGTAGAGTGTGATTCAGGTGAAACTCAAATCTAATCAGTAGTAAATAAACAGGCTGGTTAACACCTGTTAATGAGCTAGTTAATAATGTTTCTAAATAAGGTTTTTAAAAAGGTGTACGCTTTTAACCTCCCTTGATGATGATGATGATGATGAAGAAGAAGAAGAAGAAGAAGAAGCAGAGACTGAATGGGTAGTGCTTGGGTGGGAGACCTCCAAGGAAGTCCTGGGTTGGGGGCAGGCAGTGGTGGACAAACTCCTGTTCATCTCTTCCCCTGACCTGGATGGTCCCAGGCTGGTCTGATCTGATCTCGTCAGGTTTCAGAAGCTAAGCAGGGTCTGGGGAAAAGACACAACTGATGGAAAATCTACAAGTGGATACTTATTCTACTATGGAAACAGTTTAATTGACTGGACTAGTCAAAAGCAATCTGTTGTAGCGATCTCTACTGCAGAAGCTGAATGTGTATCAGCGCAAAGTGCCAGCTATGAACTGTACTGGATCATTCATCTACTGAAAGACTTTGGAATAGACGAACCGAAACCAATAATAATGTATGAGGACAATCAAGCTTGCATCGTTCTCTGCAAAGGTGAGAGCACCAAATCCAAGAGTAAGACCATTGCTCTTCAATGCAAATATGTGAAAGACTTACAAGACAAAGGACTCATTGAACTTCGTTACTGTCCTACTGACCAGATGACTGCCGACATCCTGACCAAGCCGCTTGACAAGCAACGTTTTTGAGAATCTTCGTAAAAGTTTAAATTTGCATGATTTCAGTGTTATAACTTGAGAAGGGGTGTTGGAAGTTACAAGTTAGAACACTTCTATTCAGTATTTACTGAGTTAATATTGTGTTCTGAATCACATGTTTGTTTGTATCCTATCTGCTTAGAGAGTTAGAAAGCCCGCCAGATACAGATCTAGTTTGTTGTTTTGATTGGGGAATGGAGTGTTACTATTTAGCATTTTATGGCTCTTTGTCCCTGAGCAAGAAGAAGCTCCAGTCTCCATCTCTCTCCATTAGACCTTAGCCATGTAAGGAAGTCTATCTAGACATGAGGATGTAGAAATAAAGCTCTTTGTTATTTTACCTCCTGTTTACCCTACCCTTGATAGGTTGTTAGTAAACTTTTATATTTTGAAACTACCATGGACTCAGACTCAATTTTACTCTGCTAAACTCTGCTGAATTAAGAAATTAAGAAATTAAATACTAAACCATCTAACAAGTCCCCTTTCTGAAGTCATCTTTTTGTGGAAGGAGGGTCACCTGTATTCTGAAACGGAGAGTCTTCCAGTAGCTTGATACACCACGGTAGGGAGGACACCGGTTGGTGCTCTCTGGCTTAGTGTGTATAGCTCTTGAACGGTCTCTGCATTTTTCCTGGGTTAGATTTTGAACGGTACACAATTTACTTTTAACTCTGGACTTCCTGCACTTTGTGGCCTCTTGGCCCGCGGTTAGTTTCATTTCTTTTCGAGCCTCTCGCAGAAAAGGACTGCATAACGAGGAGCTCCGCTCAGCAGCAAGATCGGGAATGCTGGCATAAAGCGGTGCTAGCCTTTCCGGAGCGGCGAGGTTCCAGCTGGGCTTTGCTGCCCCAGACAGAGCCGCCTCCGGCTCCTCCGGCATCCTTTCCCTGGAGTGTTCTGCTCACAGCCTGATCTGCCCCTTCTCCTCAGCTGCGCAATTTCCTCCTGGACCAGGAGTTCTACATCAGCCGGAAGCAGCGCTCCATCTCCCGCATGCTGACACCAGCGATCCAGGCTGACATGGACCCGGCCTATGCAGGTAGGAAGTGGAGAGTCGTTTTCTTGCTGACCTGGTATCCCGCAGGTATCCCACAGGCTTGAATGGTGTAGAGACGTGTGCTGGCGGCAGTGGAGAGCTGTCCTGGGGCAATGCTCCTCTTTGCTAGTCACCTGTGGGGTTAGGACCAAAACCAGGGAGTCTACACCAAAGAGGTTCTGCCCCTGCAGTCGAGAACATTGGGGCTGGAGTCTGCAATTGAGGCGCTTCCTTTCCGTGGTTTCTGCACAGTGCAAGGGAGACTTTACTCCCTGAGCATGGGCGGAATAAGAACATAACAGAAGCCATGGTGGATCAGGCCGGTGGCCCATCCAGTCCAACACTCTCTGTCACACGGTGGTCAAAACCCAGGGGCCACCAGGAGGTCCAGCAGTGGGGCCAGGAGACCAGAAGCCCTCCCACTCTTGCCTCCCAAGCACCAAGACAACAGAAGAAGAGGAGATTGGATTTATACCCCATGGCCCTTCACTACCCAAGGGAGTCTCAGAGCGGCTTACAAACTCCTTTCCCTTCCCCTCCCCACAACAGACACCCTGTGAGGAAAAAGTAGAAGAGGAGGAGATTGGATTTATACCCCCACCCTTCACTACCCAAAGGAGTCTCAGAGCGGCTTACAAACTCCTTTCCCTTCCCCTACCCACAACAGACACCCTCCTGTGAGGGAGGTGGGGCTGAGAGAGCTCTGAGAGAAAGTGCTCTTTTTCAAGGACAGGTCCATCAGGGGCTGTTAGCCACAAGGTATAGATAGGGACTCTGAGGCAAGTGATGCTCTGTCTTCTTGGTGCTTGGGGGGGGGGTCAACAGTGGGAGGGCTTCTAATGTCCTGGCTCCACTGGTGAACCTCCTGATGGCACTGGTATTTCTGGCCACTGTGTGATACAGAGTGTTGGACTGGATGGGCCTTTGGCCTGATCCAACATTGGCATCTCTTATGTTCTTATGTCAGAACTATGGCTTGCCCAAGGTCATCCAGCAGCTGCAAGTGGAGGAGTGGGGGAATCAAACCCAGTTGGCCCATATTAGAATCCGCACACTTAGCCACTACACCAAACTGGCTCTACTACACCATCACTGCCCCAGAGATAACATGAGAGAAGCCAGTGTTGGGTCAGGCCAGTGGCCCCTCCAGTCCAACCCTCTGTCTGTCACACAGTGGCCAAAACCCAGGGGCCACCAGGAGCTCCACCGGCAGGGCCAGAATAAGCTTCACCGGAAGAGCAGTATGCAGATGCCTACGGTGAATAAAGAAATGGGTGCATCCAGAAGGAAGCTTTGGGCTGATGAAGCTTCAGGCTGGAGGGGGAAGGGGTGGCCAAGTGAGTGGGGGGAGAGACCCTCCTGGCAGAGGCCCCCTTAAGAGGCATTTAAAGCAATCGCCTGCTGGGTGCTCAGAGGAATCTTCAGCCTCGCTTCAGGCAGGTGTGCAACCTAGGAGGTTTGGCCAAAGGAGGCGAGAGGGAGTGGAGGCGGCCCAATGCTCGTAAGGAGGGGCACGTGCTGACCTCTCAAACCCCCCCCAACAGCGTGCAGCCAAATGTCCGGCCCCGGCTACTTCCAGAGGATGAAGGACATGATGGAGAGCTACATCCGCGAGAACAAGGACTCCATCTTTGAGGCCGCCGCACAGAAGCTGCAGGAGCAGCTGAGCCGGCTGCAGGTGAGCTTTATGAGAAGAGGCTCACCTGTGGGAGGGTTTAGCGGAGCTGCCTTTTCCCGGGGCTGCGGTTTCGGCCACTCAGGTGGCTTTGGCCTGCTTTGCCTCCCCTCCCCCCCCACACACACACAGACACACTTTCATATATTTTTAAAGTGGGTTTTTCTGTTTTTAGTCCTCTTAATGTGGGACAGGACAACAAATGTGGAAACTGGAATGGAGATGTTCAGAATGCCCGTTTGTGTTCCTAAGGCCGCGTTACATGGAAAGGAATTCGTTTCTAGGTTGGAAAACTCCTGGAAGCCTCCGCGGCAGTTAGGGGTGGTGATTTTCACACGCGTGCAGACATCTCTTTCTCTGTACGCAGAGGAGGCCTGCAGTAATTCCCTGTCCCGTGCATCGAAATCACTGAGGCTGTGAAATCACAGGGGGGAATGCTGCTGAACATGATCCAGCATACCCACAAATGGCGAATGCACCAGTGTGTGTGTCCCCCCAGGGCTCCCAAGTCGGCGGGGGATGTATAGTTCTTCGTGGGACCATTCCCACGGGGAAAACACAGGTGCTGCACTATTCCGTCGCCCAGACGTGACGTAGGCACGTAGCCAGGCAACGCTCTAGCAATGGGGCTGGAAACTCGATGGTATCGCCTGGGTTAAGTCCATGCAGGTGGCAGGATCCCCAGCGTAGCCTTCCTCAGGAGTCCAGGGGGGATCCCTCCTTCCTTCCTTCCTTCCTTTGTTTCTGGGTCCAGCCCGCCTGACAGGTGTCTGCCCCGCAGTCGGCAACGAAGCTGCGGGTCTCTGGCTTAGGGTGGTTCCGTGGGGGTGTGTGTGTGTCCCTCCTTGTTCCTGTGGGAGGGGCCTCTTGTGCTGCCACCTCAGTGCCCAGCATGAATCTGGGGTGTGCGGCCTGAACAGCTCCTCCGTCCAGCTTGCCTCCCCCCCCCCCCCCCTCTCTCTCTCCCTCCCTCCCTCTCTCTCTCTCTCTCTCACACACACACACACACACACACACACACAAGATCACTCCTTTTCACTCTGCGGTTCAGAGGTGGTTTGCTCTGGCCGGGCTCGGCGGAGGGATCCCGGGCGGACCAGGGTCAGCCCTGCTCAGCTGCTGCGATCGGATGAGATGGGGCTGGGCACGGAGTCGGGCTTAATACGCAGCTGCTCGTCCGCCACAAGGGGAACGGAAGTCTCGTGCCGTGGAGAAGCGCCCAAGAGTCCAGGAGCACCTTCAGGACGAACGCAACTTTTGTGGCCGGGGAGGAGCTTGCGCGAGTCGCTGGCTCCCTTCTGCTGATGTCCGAAGAATAATAGATCCAGAGGGGCAGCCCTCTTACTCTGTCTGCAGCAGCAGAAAAGAGCCCGAGTCCAGGAGCACCTGAAGGACCGACACAATTTGTGGCCGGGGAGGAGCTTTCGGGAGTCACTGCCAAGGCTCCCTCTAAGCTGTGGCGTCTTGTGAGCCAAAATCCTCCTTTGTGAGCTCCTGGCATGAAAGTTGTGAGCGAGCGATTCAGCTCCTGCATGAGTTCAGTTGGCTCTGGAGCCCTCCTTCCTGAGCGAAGACGAAAATCTGTGAGCTGGAGGAGGCAAAAAAACTGTGGGCTAGCTCACATGAACTCAGCTTAGAGGGAACACTGGCCACAGCTCACTTTCTCGGATACTGCTCACTTCCTTGCAACTGACGAAAACGCCTTCCCCGCCACAAATGTTGTGAGTCTTTGAGGTGCTCTTTTCTGCGGCGGCCCATCTGGAAGTCCCGTGGACCGGGCTCCCTTCTCTTCGTCACGATGCTGGCTAAGGCCGAAGAGCTCCCCTGCGGCACCCTGCCTTCACGCGGCATCTGGTACCAACAGGGGCTGCTCCCTGGCCTCTTTGGCAAGTGGCCGTGTGAGGGAGGAGCGATCTGGGCCGAGGCCTTGGGACGCGCCCGTCAATCTCTCTCTCCTGTCGTGTGGTTCTCTTCTAGCAACGCATCCGAGGGAGCTTCCAGAGCTTGGTCCTGGAGCTGAGCAAGTCCCTGAGGATGCAGTTCGAGCCCCTCCTGAAGCCCGTGCAGAAGAACGCAGAGCTCATTCCAGGTGAGGAGGTGGTGCTTGGCCGTGTCCTCTCTCCCACTGGCTCTCTCCTGCAGGAAAACTGAGCGGCAGGCGCATCATCGCCAGAGGGGCAGAGAGGGCGTGTCTGGGGCTGGGTAGCCAAATGGGTTACGCCCCGTGGTTGTGGGGGCAGCCAGCTGCTCAAGGAAGAGAGGGTGGGAGGGGCAAGTTCTGGGCATGGAAAGAAAGAATCCAGGCCCATTGGTTTTTGTCATGCAGGCGTACCTGGGGCCACCTGGGTGGGCCTCTTGGTGCCCTGTGGTATGCCCTTCTGTTAAAAATTCTGACAGTGGAGAGCTGCATTCTTGCGAGCCCTGTGGATTCCTTGTTTGCCAGTCATGTGACCCGTCTTTGGAGCATGGGGTGGGGGCAGAGGACCACGAAGGACAGAGCCGTCCAGGCGGTGGCACTGGGTGGGGGTGCGCGTGCGGACCGTCCTTCCCACCACTGCCTACCTGGCACCGTGACGAAGCTTTAGTCTCCATGCTGAGTGAGTGTGAGCTACCTCACAGTTTTTTATCCTCCGGCTCACACAGTTTTGTCTTCGCTCAGGGAGGACGGGGCTCCGGAGCAAACTAACTGACACAGCAGCCCAACCGCTCGCTCACAGCTTGAATGCCAGCAGCTCGCAAAGTAGAATTTTTGCTCTCACAAGACTCTCCACCGCTTAGAAGGGAGCCTTGGTCCCATGTGAAAAACGTCTCTCCTTTTCTGGTCCTTGGTGGCTAGTTCTGAGGTGTCTGCACTCGGCCTGCTCCCCAGCTTCTCAGACTGGATGGCAGCTCAGTTTGATTTTGTGCCGCTGCTTTTGATAATGTTTTTGTGCTGCTAAGACTTGAGTTTCCTTTGCATTTTAACACTTTGGGGGGTTTCACTGTTTCTGGTCTGACAGAGGTGCACTTCCGTTGCGTTCCTTGTGATAGGCTTTTTTGTTTATTTTTCCCCCTTTTCCCCTTTTCTGTTGGGCAGTCTCTTGACCCATGTCGAGTCCTTCGCTGGAGAACCTTCCAGAGGGGTCGGGGTGCTGGTCTGCCGTAGAACACTTAAATCTGAGTCCAGGAAGGCCTTTGCCACACCCACCCCTCCTCCTGACTGGGAGGAAAGAACTCCGACCCCTGTTTCTGCTCTGTTGTCTCTGTCGAAGTGAGTTTTGACTCTTGAGAAAGCTTAGTGTAAGGCACAGACTTCAGGTTCTCTGCCAGAATACCCAGGTTCAGGCTCCGGTTTGGCAAATCAGGCAAAAATGCTTTTATTATCAAAAAACAACAAAGGCAACCTCAATTAACAATATTTCAAGGAAAAAAGAAAATTCCACGTCCTTCAGGGGGTTGCCAAAATACAAAGAGTAATTAAAATCAACTAGAACTTACAATGACTCCACAAGGTAGGAAAACATCCTGCCCACCAGACGCGCATTATCTTACCCCCCACACCTTTTGCTATTTTATCTATTGAAGGACCTGTTAAGACGCTGCCCCTCCCTGTCTCCAGTGCAGCTGTCCGTTAAGAGATCTCAGCTGTGCAGCTCTTGCAAAGCTGAGTACCGGACAGTTCCTGTGAAGACTTGCAAGGTCGATCCTCCCCCTCCTGCCGTCCTTCAGTTCTACAGTGTTGCTATGTTACAGACAAGTTGGTGTCTTCCTTACACTTAGGCCCTGGAGTTTTTGTGGATCTCTGAGGTGTTCCTGGGACTCAGATCTAACCATTCACTGGAGAAAGTTGGGCTGATGGAATTCTTTTCTTTTTTTTAATAATATTTATAAGTTTTACACATTTACAACACATAAGGATTACAAGACTTGGAGTGTTTCATTCATTGGAGTGTACATTACATTTTCTTTCGAAACCACTTATATACTCTAGATCATTTGAAAAATTAAATCATCTTTCCCTTGTAAGACCATGTTAAGCTTGTCCATTTCTGCAATTTCATATAGTTTTTCTGCCAGTTCATCTCTTAGAGGTATACTTTCAGACTTCCAGTGCTTAGCTATTAGGATTCCGGCTGCCATGAGAATGTAAGTTAACAAATAAATATCTTTTTGATCATATCCATCTAGGATAATGTTCAGCAAGTACGTTTCTGGTAACAATTCTAGACTTATGTTCATAATTTCTAGTATGACCTGTTTAATGTTTTGCCAAAATGTATAGATCTTTCTACATCTCCACCCCATATGGTAAAAGGTTCCAATGTTATTTTTGCATCTCCAACAGTTTTTGGATACATCTTTATAGCATCTGGCCACTCTGTCGGGTGTCCAGTGCCACCTATAAAACATTTTAAGGATGTTTTCCTTATATGCAGTTGCTCTCATTAGTTTTACCGCCTTCCAGATCTTTGACCAATCATCTGTCTCTATATTTTTACCCATATCCTGCATCCAGGCTATCATTGATGGTTTTACTACTTCATTTTAAATAAAGTCATTCAGTAAAAAGTTATACATTTTTGTATCAGTTTATCAGAGGTGGACAACCATATTTTATCTAGATCAGTTTTACTATCATAGAAACTTGTTACTTTATCCTTAGCATATCTCGATTGTAATTGCAAGTTCTCGCACCAAGTAAGATTTATATTGCTCAGACGTAAGGTTTCCAATGGCTTTAATTCATTATTATCATCCAGTAGTGTATCATATGTTTCTCTATTCTTTTGGGACATTAATGTAGGTTTTGTGTTGTTGTTGTTCAGTCGCACAGTCGAGTCCGACTCTTCGTGACCCCATGGGCCAGCTCCCGCCAGGCCCTCCTGTCTTCCGCTGTCCTCTGAAGTTGGCTCAATTTCATGTTCGTTGCCTCGATGACACTGTCTAACCATCTCATCCTTTGCCGTCCCCATCTTCTTTGACCTTCAATCTTTCCCAGCATCAGGGTCTTCTCCAGTGAGTGCTCCCTTCTCATTTGGTGGCCAAAGTATTTGAGCTTCAGTTTCATTATCTGGCCTTCCAGGGAACAGTCAGGGTTGATTTCTTTTAGGATTGACTGATTTGATCTTCTTGCAGTCCAGGGGACTCTCAAGAGTCTTCTCCAGCACCATAGTTCAAAAGAATCTATTCTTCGGCGCTCGGCCTTCCTTATAGTCCAACTCTCGCAGCCATACATGACTACTGGGAATACCATTGCTTTGACCATGCGGACTTTTGTTGGCAGGGTGATGTCTCTGCTTTTTATCATGCTGTTTAGGTTCGCCATCGCTTTCCTCCCAAGGAGCAGGCGTCTTTTAATTTCATGGCTGCTGTCACAGTCTGGGGTGATCTGGGATCCCAGGAACGTGAAGTCTGTCACCACTTCCACGACTGTGAAACCCAGGCTGATGGAATTCTGAGAAAGTGAATCAGTAACACAGTTTCTTGGGTGCGTTTTTCCAGATTTGATGAACATCTGTGCCAAGGTGGACAAGATCTGCAAGCGCTCGTGTGTGGTGTATGTCCTTCCCAGCACCTCTCAGGTGGAGGCCGGTTCCCCGGAAGCAGAAAGGGAGCTGCAGGGGAATCCCTTGTGCCTCTCAGCCTTGCACTTGGACATCCGACTGGGAGCACTGCCTCTTTCCTGCATTGTGGCCATCCAGGTAAAGTGGGCTTGTGGGCAGGTGGAGGGCGTGGCTGCCGCGGAAGAGAAGCCCCCCCTTCCCCTGGGCCTCAGGAGGGCGGCAGTTTCCCCGCAGGCAGATTCATTGCAGTAGGAAAGCTGTTGGTGGCGGACGTCCCCTTCCACCGTGGGATTCCGCAGGTATTCCTAATGACTTCAGGGCTGCTCAGCTGAGCTCGGTGAGTAGAAAGGGACCCAGGAGAGGTTAGTCAGCACTGATTCCGCCCGAGAAGTGTAAGAGGAGAGGTCTTCCTTGAAAGACGTGCAAACCCTCCGGAGGAGTTGAGTCCGCCTGTCCCAAACGGCGGCTCCAGGTCCCTCCAGGGGGTCCCACTCCCGACAGAAGGAGTGGCTGCTTCTGCTAGAGGGGAGAAAACCTCCACTGAGGAATGCTTCCCCCCCCCGAAGTTGCCTAACCAGTTTTAGAAGGAGGCCCCCTAAGGAGCGTGGAAGCTTGCCCGCAGAAGAGTTAGACACATTCCGTCCTGAGGGAAGCCACCTTCACACAGGGAGCTCCCCAAGGCCTTTCCTTGGCAGGTACAGAACACAGGGCTGGCCTAGCAACCTCGGGGTCCTCCTGGGTCCCTGCAGGGCTTGCTTTAGACCGTCCGCTGGGACGGATTCTGCAGAGGCGCGCTGGCTCCTGCCATGCCCTCCTAGGAAGCTGTCTTGGATTGTCAGGCCGTTGGCCCGCCTACCTAGTGGTGGCTCTCCGGTAGAGATCCTGGGACTGGGGGTGCTGGGGGTTGAAGCCGGCAGTATGCAAAGCACTGAGCCACGGCCCCTCCCTCAAGAGTTCACCTCCCCCCCACACACACACATTTGCCAGAATTTAAATTCTGGGGGACCGAGGAGAGAGGGATTTCTCCTCCCAGTTCCGAGAGGTGGGAGCCTTTTGAGAGAAGGGGCTCCACTGCTGGGTGTTGAGCCAAGCCCCTGTGGTCTTTGGCAGAGCCTGCCCAGCCCCTTGCACGGCTCTTTTGTTTTATGGCTCTTTTGTGGCACTTGTGGCTTGTCTCTCTCCAAAGATTTGAGGCTGCAGCTATGAGCCACTGCCTGTTCTCCACTGGCGGAAAGAAGGACGGGTCTTTGCTTCCTTGGGTTGATGAGCGGCACCGTAGCCAAAGCCCAGGGACGCCTGCTCTCTCCACCTCTTCCCGTCCCTGCTCTGAACTCCTCCTAGGCAAGGTCTGATCATTGCCGATCCGTGGCCGAGGCCCGACTAGCAAGGCTGTTGTACCTGCAACGACCGCTGTCCGTGGGGTGCTTTGCCTGTCCAGAAGCGCCCTGTAAAGACTAACTGTTACTCCCTTTGCTTTAAGGTATCCGGGCAGGACCTGGCTCTGAGGCTGACAGGTCAGTGACTGTGCAGGCCCCTCCTCCTGCCGGGTCTGCGTCCGCCTGCTCTCTCTCCCCATCAGGCTGCGGGTGGAGGACCCCTACTTTCTGTGTCCTCCGTCGGGGGGGCCACTCCGTGTTTCAGACTGGAGGGGGAGACACCCCCCCCATGTTAGTGGCACTGGGAATGGATGCCTCTGGTGGGGGGGGGGGCTCTTATCCCCCTCAGTGGAGGAGGGAGGCATCCTAGCATCAAGGCCTGGGCCCCCTCCTTGCATGTGCAGATTTTTTGCAATGGCTTACCCTTCCCACAGTTCTCCGTACCTTGATACCATCCCATGCCGGATCACTGCAAGGTGGGGGTACGTGGGCTGGGGGAAACTCTGTGATCTTGGTGCTTGGGGTGGGGGGCAACAGTGGGAGGGCTTCTGGAGTTCTGGCCCCACTGCTGGACCTCCTGAGGGCACCTGGTGTTTCTGGCCACTGTGTGACGCAGAGTGTTGGACTGGAGGGGCCACTTTCCTGATCCGACCTTGGCTTCTCTTGTGTTCTTCTATGGAGCAGAGGTCCATCAGTGGCTATTAGCCACAAGGTATAGATAGGGGCTCTGGGGCAAGTGATGCTCTGTCTTCTTGGTGCTGACCGAGGAGAGAGGGATTTCTCCTCCCAGTTCCGAGAGGTGGGAGCCTTTTGAGAGAAGGGGCTCCACTGCTGGGTGTTGAGCCAAGCCCCTGTGGTCTTTGGCAGAGCCTGCCCAGCCCCTTGCACGGCTCTTTTGTTTTATGGCTCTTTTGTGGCACTTGTGGCTTGTCTCTCTCCAAAGATTTGAGGCTGCAGCTATGAGCCACTGCCTGTTCTCCACTGGCGGAAAGAAGGACGGGTCTTTGCTTCCTTGGGTTGATGAGCGGCACCGTAGCCAAAGCCCAGGGACGCCTGCTCTCTCCACCTCTTCCCGTCCCTGCTCTGAACTCCTCCTAGGCAAGGTCTGATCATTGCCGATCCGTGGCCGAGGCCCGACTAGCAAGGCTGTTGTACCTGCAACGACCGCTGTCCGTGGGGTGCTTTGCCTGTCCAGAAGCGCCCTGTAAAGACTAACTGTTACTCCCTTTGCTTTAAGGTATCCGGGCAGGACCTGGCTCTGAGGCTGACAGGTCAGTGACTGTGCAGGCCCCTCCTCCTGCCGGGTCTGCGTCCGCCTGCTCTCTCTCCCCATCAGGCTGCGGGTGGAGGACCCCTACTTTCTGTGTCCTCCGTCGGGGGGGCCACTCCGTGTTTCAGACTGGAGGGGGAGACACCCCCCCCATGTTAGTGGCACTGGGAATGGATGCCTCTGGTGGGGGGGGGGGCTCTTATCCCCCTCAGTGGAGGAGGGAGGCATCCTAGCATCAAGGCCTGGGCCCCCTCCTTGCATGTGCAGATTTTTTGCAATGGCTTCCCCTTCCCACAGTTCTCCGTACCTTGATACCATCCCATGCCGGATCACTGCAAGGTGGGGGTACGTGGGCTGGGGGAAACTCTGTGATCTTGGTGCTTGGGGTGGGGGGCAACAGTGGGAGGGCTTCTGGAGTTCTGGCCCCACTGCTGGACCTCCTGAGGGCACCTGGTGTTTCTGGCCACTGTGTGACGCAGAGTGTTGGACTGGAGGGGCCACTTTCCTGATCCGACCTTGGCTTCTCTTGTGTTCTTCTATGGAGCAGAGGTCCATCAGTGGCTATTAGCCACAAGGTATAGATAGGGGCTCTGGGGCAAGTGATGCTCTGTCTTCTTGGTGCTGGGGGGGGGGTCAACAGTGGGAGGGCTCCTACTGCCCTGGCCCCACTGCTGGGCCTCCTGATGGCACTGGTATTTCTGGCCATTGTGTGACATAGAGTGTTGGACTGGAGGGCCCATTGGCCTGATCCAACATTGGCTTCTCTTAGGTTCTTACAAGGGCAGTGCTAACTGCATGCGCCTAACTGCACCACACACACACACACACATGCACCCCGCCAATGTTTCTGTTTCTAACCTACGTAGTTCTATGAGTTGCTTTTAGATAGTTATTTTGTGCGGTGACCCTTTGGAAGATGTTGTGCCTTATTAAGTCTTGCTGAAGCCCTGGCCGGAGGCCGTGACGCCGCTGCCTTCTCCCTTTCTGGACAGATGAGAGCGCCGTGGCCCTTCCTTTGGGGAGCGTCTCCCTCTGTGAGTCTTGCCTGCCCCTTGGCTGCCTGATCCTGCACCTGTCTGCTGAAGCCGCTGGGGAAATCCGTCGCCGATGCCGAGTTCGGGCATCCAGCCCAGGTGAGCCACAGCCACGCTAAAGCCCACCCCAGGGAGGGGGGGATCCGAGAGATGGCTTGCGCTTCTCCCACAGGTGGTCCACCGGCCATCTCCTGGGCTCCTGTGCGGGGCATCGCGTGTGGCTGCCTGCCTGCTTGCCATGGCCCCCTGCGCTTTTCGCCACTGTCGGCCTCGTGCCTGTTCATTGGGAAGCTGAAAAGTACTGGGTTCGCCGCATGGAAGACTCGGACGACGACATGCGGTTGCACACGTTTATTGCGTACTTAACATAAGAGCACCCAACGGCCCTGCAAGGCCAACTATATACACTCCCACCCCTGGGCCTCCCACTCCATTGGAGGGTTTGAATTTCCCGCCAAGAAGCCCATTGGTCAGCTAGGGGGGGGACTAGGATCCCAGGTCCCATTGTCTTTCTGGAGCCAAGCTCCTGTCTTTCTTGTGGCCGCCGTGAGGCGGGCTGCATACATAACAGAAGCAGAGTGAGGGACATTCCCAGTAGGTAGCCAGCAGTGTTCTCTCTAAGCGGAGTCAGTGTGAGCTAGCCCACAGTTTCTTAGCCTACGGCTCACCCATTTTTGTCTTAGCTCAGGAAGGACGGGGCTCCAGAGCAAACTAATTTATGCAGCAGCCAAATCGCTCGCTCACAACTTTAGTGCCAGGGGCACTAAAGTAGAATTTTTGCTCACAAGACTCCACAGCTTAGAGGGAGCATTGGTTGCCAGTGCTTTGTAGCTGTTCCTCCCCTTCTCAGGGATGTGCTCTAGGCTGATCCTGCGTTGAGCCGGGGGTTGGACTAGATGGCCTTTAGGGCCCCTTCCAAATCTGTGGTTCGGTACCAGAGTCGTTGGCTGTTAGTGTGACATGATGAGAGCCAGTTTGGTGGAGTGGTTAAGAGCAATGGACTCTAATCTAGAGAACCGGGTTTGATTCCACACTCCTCCACATGAATCCAGCTGGGTGACCTTGGGTCAGTCACATGTTCTCTCAGAGCTCTCTCAGCCCCCCAAATAAGTCTAGCTCGCCACCTAGTGCTAAAAAAGAGCTAATACTTCAGACAGCCAAAAAGTCTTTGGATCTCCAGGATATACCACACACGGTGCCATATGATAATTAATTAACTAATTATTAGTGTGGTGTGACGTGATGCCAGACCGGCTCTCCTTTCCAGGCCAACATGGACGAGAGGCGCTTGTGATCTTGGACAAGGACCCGGACCAGACGTTCTTCTCCAGGCTGACCGCAGGCGTGTCGTCGAGTCGCAGGGATGCCTCCTGGGTCCAAACGCTCAGTCTGTGCCAGGGGAGGGAGAGGCTGGAATCCCTGGGGGTGTATTCCACGCCCCGGGTGAGTGGGGTTCGTGGTGGGGACAACGGTCTGGGCCCTATTCATCTATTTATTCACCCAGTCATGTACTTATTCGTGTATTTGGAACATCTGTTAGCGGCCTTTTGTCCTTGTGGAGCTCAGGGCCACTTGCAGCATAGATAAAACATATAAAATACATTAACAGAGCCAGTCTGGTGTAGTGGTTAAGAGCAGCGGACTCTAATCTGGGAGAACCGGGTTTGATTCCCCACTCCTCCACTTGCAGCTGGCTGGATGACCTTGGGCAAGCCATCGTTCTGACAAGAGCTCTCCTTGAAAAAGAGCCGTTTCTGTCAAGAGCTCTCTCAGCCCCACCTCCCTCACAGGAGGGTGTCTGTTGTGGGGAGGGGGAGGGGAAAGGAGTTTGTAAGCCGCTCTGAGACACCTTCGGGTAGTGAAGGGCCATGGGGTATGAATCCCATCTCTTAACAACCTAAAACCTGAAATTTAAAGTCACAACCAGTGTTCCCTCTAAGCTGAGTTAGTGTGAGTTAGCTCACAGTTTTTTCGCCTCCGGCTCACACATCTTTGTCTTGGCTGAGGAAGGAGGGCTCCAGAGCAAACTGATTTATGCAGTAGCCAAATTGCTCGCTCACAACTTTAATGCCAGTAGCTCACAAAGCAGAATTTTTGCTCACAAGACTCCACAGCTTAGAGGGAACATTGGTCACAACTCCGGACTGCTGACCCAAAATGCAGCGCTAAATAAAGAAGAAGAAGAGATTGGATTTATACCCAGCCCTTCACTCAGAGCGGCTGACAAACTCCCTTCCCTTCCCCTCCCCACAACAGATACCCTGTGAGGTCGGCGGGGCTGAGAGAGCTCTTGACAGAAACTGCTCTTTTTCTCAAGGACAGCTCGGAGAGAACTATGGCTTGCTCAAGGTCATCCAGCCAGGTGCAAGTGGAGGAGGAGCGGGGAATCAAACCGGGTTCTCCCAGATTAGAGTCCGCGCACTTAACTACGACACCAATCTGGCGTCTGCAGCCGCCTCCTGAAGACTGAGAGGGAGGGGGCCAGGCGCAGCTCCCTGGGGAGGTCGTTTCGTAATCATGGGGCCACCACCAAAAAGGCCCCCCTCTGTGGACCCGTCAGGTGAGCTGCATTGCTTGACGGGGCAGTCAGGAGTCCCCCCCCCCTCTCCCTGCAGTCTTAATTCCTGGGCAGGAACATGCGGGAGAAGGCAGCCCTGCAAGAGATCCTGGTTCCCAGGCCATGGAGGGATTGAAAGGACAAAACCACCACCTTGAATTGGGATCAGGAGCGAATTGGGCTCGGGGGAGCGGACCAGCAGCCTGTGGAATTGCTGTCGGATTGGGGGCCTGTGCTCCCGATAGCTGGCCCCCCTCCAGCAGGGCAGCTGCAGCGTCTGAACCCTCTTCAAGAGTAGCCTTGAATGATCAGAGCTCAGCTATCGGGAGGCGTATTTCTGGAAAATCTGAACCTTCTCCCCAGTTTTGTGACATGACTGGTGTGTGTCTGTGTGTGCGTGCGCGTGCGTGTGTATACAGAGGAGGTCATCCATGCAGTCGTTGAACCAGCTCCCATGGCCGGGACCAGTGCAGCTGTCTGCAGAGGCTGCAGTCTGTAGACCTTTCCTCTGCGCATGGCTGCAGGGTCGGCCTGTTCTGCCGGCTGACCACTCTCCCTCCCTCGCGTGCGTGTGTATACAGAGGAGGTCATCCATGCAGTCGTTGAACCAGCTCCCATGGCCGGGACCAGTGCAGCTGTCTGCAGAGGCTGCAGTCTGTAGACCTTTCCTCTGCGCATGGCTGCAGGGTCGGCCTGTTCTGCCGGCTGACCACTCTCCC